TCCGCCACTGACTCACAAGCTGATAATTCAGACACTCACTAAACACGTCACACTTCCTTGAGAGCTACAGAAGCAGTGATCTGCCCGCACAGAGGAATGTTGGGTCAGCTTTTCTGTGAAGAAGCTTCCACTCTGTTTGGCTGACCAAGTCACAAACAGTCTTACCTACATGTAAACGAAATCGAACCCAGTGCCATGATGAAGGGTTTTATTGTTCAGAGCCAACTACTGGACCTCTGACTTGTACTTGCGTCGGTTTGTTTTGGTTTCAAACTCAAGGTCTAACCGTCAGCACTTCTAAAGTGAGCACGTGTCTTGCGTCCAGTATACTGGACTTTCGGCATCTTCGAGGTCACAGGTACCGTCCGGTATACCGGACTTTCGGTCGTTAAAGGTTAATCTGGAGCCCATTAATTAATTGTCACATTACCAGGATACGTGATAATGTAATAAATCCATGCTCTAAATTGAGTAAGGATTACTAAAAAAAATTCTGTGTTAGTGGTTCCCTTGTCACCATTGCATAGTGTGTCTTCAGGTTGCAGATGCAGGTGACAGCCTCCAGATATGGAGGTTAGCTGTGAATGTATTATGACATGTAGGAAATAAATTGTCAAATATATTGCCATGGAGAGATTGATTCTAGGAAACCATCTGGTTATGGAACACATTCTCAATGAATATGAAGACTGAGAGTTGTAAACTCATGAAAACCAGACCATTACTATGAAATTCACGTTTCCACAGCAACTGATAAACACAGAATAGTAGAGGAACTGTTGGGAGTGGTGGCTTATATGTTCAGCCCTCCCTGAATTTATAAAGTGGGGATATGTAATTTATTTGTCATTCATCCTTAGTGATTTGTAAGTGAGTCATGTGGCATTCATCATTCATAAGAGAGTTCAAAGTTCAGTAGTTTCAACTGAGTTGAGTGTTCAGTTGTGGACTGTTAACCAGCAGATAATGGAAGCTGAAGAGGTGACCAGTTTGAAAATTAGCACCAAATCAGTTCGCAGTAGAAGAGAAGACAGTTTCAGGACAGTAAGGAATGGCGTGAGTCCTCAGCAATGGATTGATTGTGAGCTGTTATAATTGATTGTAATTGAGAGTGATTGTAAAAGAAGGTGTCAGTAAATTCAATCATACAATCCAGAACCCACTATTATAGTCATGGAACTCCAGGCACATGACAGTATTGAATAAACGGTCACAGACAGCCCACAAGGGATGGTCCTCTAGCTTGGTGGTATGATGTGGGACTAACAGCTCCTCACTATAAAAAAATAATTTTTGGTATGAAATGTCACAAAGGGATCAATTCAAGGATTACAAGATGAGAAGGGCATGTAGCATGAATGGGGAGAAGATTGCTTACAGTATATTGGTAGGAAAGCCAGAAGGAAAGGGACCACTAGGAAGACCAAGATGTAGGTGGGTGCATAATATTAAAATGGATCTTAGATAGATAGGATGAGGTAGTATGGACTACATTGATCTGGCTAAGGATAAGGACCAGTGAAGGGCTCTTGTGAATATGGTAATGAACTTTTTCTTTTTTCTCTCTCTCTCTCTCTCTTTTTTTTTTGTTTACATTCCCTACAGTATGGACAATACTTTGTGAGATGAGGCACTGACTAATATTATAATTTACTTTACTACATCTACATTATGGGTCTCATACACAATTTTATATACCCATAAGTATGAATGTTCCAACTTGTCCGTGGGAACGAAACAAAAAACAAATCACAAACCAACGACTGACACGTTGATGTAAAAACACCAAAAGAATTTTATTCTTATTTTATATAATACTTCTGTTTTATATAACTTGATTATTGTATTTTTTTTGCGTCAAGCGTTTTTTTATATATTTTAATAATATTGTATCCAGTTTTGTTGGTGCTGCGGTTCAGTGGTGTGTATATGTGTGTAAATCATGTGTTTGTCTGATGATGGCTATCAATAGCTGAAACATGTAGCAGGGTCGAGAATGGTCTGATCTTGATATTAGTTGTGTTGTGACGGATATAGTAAAGAGGTTGTATGGTAATGAACCTTTGGGTTCCATAAATTATTGGGAATTTCTTGAATAGCTGCACAAGTGGCACCTTCTCAAGAAGGGCTCAACTCCAAGGAGTTACTTGAAAAATTTCTAAGAATTTTCAAAATGTATTTAATTTGCGCATATGAATCAAGTGTACAGGTGACACACTACTTGTACATAAAATATTCTGACACGTTATCCTACGTCCATCACCGCGACAACCGCTACAATTGAAATGCACACTTCCACAGCAATGAATAGGTGGAAACTCTGGAGTTCCCACAGTGACAAACCGTAGTAAGAAATTGTCATCGAGTAACAATGGGAAATACTGCACAGAGGCCAACCAGAGAAAACTGGATGCGAAAACTATACGAAATAAAGAGAAGACATCCACTTCATCTGGTCTGGGTTGAAGGATGGCTGAGAAGAAACGATGGCCTGCCAAAGAAAGACAGAGGCACATCTGGAATGGGAGGGGCCAGCCTCAGTGAACATGGAACCTGAGGCAGCAAAACAAAAGGTCCCTAAGGAAGAAGCCACAGTTATGCCAGTTGGAGGACTGAGGAAGCGGTGTAGGGACCAAAATCCAGCTGCAAGGCTCCATGGTCAGCTGATGGAAAGGACTCGGGGATATTGTGGATCCCGGACAAAATTGACGTCTCCTGCAGGAAGATGACCCGCCGTGCCAGAATGGCATGGCACAAGAGGAACATATCCAGAAAAAATTGTAGCAGGACCAATGTTATACAAGAAATCCAGAAAGGACGGACGTTTGGGTGGAGACAGCCGAAACTGGAATGCGGCAAGGGCATAAGGAGCTGCTTCATCTGAGGAAAGGAAGGAAAGCCACCAACAGTATTGGAGGATGGAGCAGAAGACAGCAGCCACAACTGGAAAAGAATGAATCAAACAAGATCTGTAGGAAAACCACTGGATTGAGAGAGAGAGAGAGACACACACACACATCATGATGAGGAACCCTCAGGAGAAAAGAATTAAAACACCATTAGGCTGTACGGGATAATCAGCCTTAAGGAGGAAGCAATGTGTTGTGCTGCCTGAAATCCAGAATATCCATTGCTGAGCAGCACTCTGTAAACACTGCCTAAAAGCCGAAAAAGTGGAACTGGACAAGGAATTGTCCATTTTGCTAGCCGAATGTTCATGCATATGCATGGAACACGCGAAACAGAACCCTTGAACAAGGTGTCCAACTGTCAGAACAGACCAGAATGGAGCGGAAGACAGAACGGAGGAGAACAGCAGGGAACAGAACAGAGGTGAAAGGAGCAGAGCTGAGAGCAGAAGAAACCAACTCACAACCAGGAGACAAGGGACTAGTCAGGTTGCATTGCATGGAAAACGTCATTTCTGAGTAACTGTAATTGTAATTATAACAGCCTATCCAATAAATAGCTTCATCTAATCCGGAGCCCATTAATTTCTTGTTGCGTTACCAGGATACGTGACAAATGGTGTCAGAAGTGGGATTGATGTGACAATATTATTCCTAAGTCTAAGTTCCCAAACATAAGCAGCACATTGACACAAAGACTCAAAAGTTTTATTTATTTTTTATTATTACTGTTATGCTGGATGTTATCCATTATCTAGGATTTATTAAAGATGCAACATTTTGGAACCTGCAATATGATATATACAGAGTTTAGAATAATATGAAAATAGCTCAACTTGTCCTCAGTTAAAAATATATAATAAAAATTGAAAAAGAATTCCAGTAATAAAATCAGGTTAAGTAGAGGAATCAGATGTAAAAGTTTCCCAATTTTCACATTTTGTGTTTTCAGAGTGTCAGTGAAGTTGGAATGATTGGAAGTGATACAACTCAGAGGCAGATATTGTGAGATAGTTTTTATTTTTTCAGCTGGCTTTATTTTAATAATTCTCTTCCTGATATTGTGTTCTTCTCTCCAGACAAGGATTGTTCTTGAAACCATTCCTATTATCCCACCCACAAGTAGACTGCCATAAACCACAGTGAGAAAAATACCCACATAACTTAAAATGGAATATTTGTTGATGCCAATGAAAATAAGTGTGTGATGTTGTAATATTTTACTTTTGCCAAAATTCAGTAGTAGTTTCTGCACTCGTATGTTGCAGGTGGAGCAAGTTGCAGGTTTCTTGTCTCAACTTAGTAGCTCCGCTTTCAGTGATACCATCTGTCACTTGCCAAGAAGCTGTTGATTTAATGAGGAAGGAAGGTTCTAATCAGCTCCCTGTAGTTGATATTGAAGGGTAAGCATGCTGTTTATTATATAAGTTCTGCCAGTCATCATGTTCACAATTGTACTTTATATGTATGAGTATGCATGGCAATTGTCACGAAGAAAGTAGCCTACTTCAGTTTATCTTCATCTCCCACTCTCTCTCTATCACCTTCCAACTAATATCTTTAATCTGTGGGATGTTGATGCTCACAGAGATGACTGTTGAGGATTATGCACTCCACACGACGCGGTAACACGTGTTGCCAGTGGTGACGTAACAGCAGAGCAGCTTTGTTAAGCAACCGTTGCCGCATTGACAAAACAGCATAGGAGCCGCTGCCTCTGCTATGGTAACAGGCCAGTAAACACTCCCTCCCCCACCCCCGCTGTGAGCTAATGGCAGATGCTGCCTGCTGCTGGGGCAACAGGGAACAGTATCCTGTAAGGGGCTGGCTGAGCAGTGTGAGAGCCAGTGTGTGTTGTGAATCCAGACAGGTAGCCAGAGAGCAGACAGTGGAAGCCAGTGCAGAGAGTTCGACAGCTCTACAGTATATTGAGATTTGTTAATATGGAAGGGGCGACTGTGAAACGACTTGTTCAGCATTTTGTGTTATAGTTACGTTGAATTGTAGTTATGGCGTTAAGTAATAAAGCGACATCACAAGAATACACACCTCGAGGTCTTGTTTCGTGACAAGAACAATGTAAAACTATAACAACAAATGTTTATTGCTCTTAGAATGGGTATTACAGACGAACAGGGATTGCGTCAGAATTATACTGGCGAAGACTCCCTTTGTAGTGGGCTAGCCTCAGCTAGTGTTAATGATGTTATTTTTGGCCCTGTAAAGGGCCGCTTGTCTGAAGCTGGGTCAAACTCTTGCAGTATCAGCTAATCGGTGCTACTGGCGGCGAGGCCAGCTGGCCGGCCAAGTTCTCGTGCTTTCTTGTAGCAGCCCCTATTATTGTGAGGTGGCAGGTTACTGGGCGAGACTGTGACTGTAGTGGCAAGACCGGCTCTCTGGCAGGCCTGCTAAGTGCTGGCAGTTGCTGGCAGAGTCAGCTGCTGTTCTAGTACTAGTAGAGTCGCTGCTGAGGGGATCTCTGGACACAAGTGTAGCCATGACTGTTGCTAGCGTGAAAGTCACATTGCGACTGAGGGTCGGTCAGTCTCTCCGTCTTGGTGTTGTGGAGCTCATGACCAGATGTTTCTTTTTAAATGAAAGTTATGTCCTGTCCATGTGGGGCGCCCTCTCTGATGAGAGGTCTTGTCTGTCATTTGTCAGTCATAGTTGATAGTATTAGTCCTTTGTCACTGTACACTTATTTACAATTGAGTCTTAATATCTAGTATGTATAATATATAGAAGGCCTCTGTCAGTCTAGGCTCAGTACAACAGACACGTTGCACAACTTTGCTATCCATCGCAGACAAAACAAAGCACAAAGTCAAAGAAGCACTCTTCTAAAAACAGTGCTTTTTCACAGTGTGGTGTCATGTGGCAGACTGATGCATTAGGCTTTTGGAAGTGTGACCTTGGCCTCTCTCATCTTCTTTCACCAGGGCAATTGCAACAATAACAGTCTGGGAACTTTCCGATACCACCTTATATGTGACAACCTCATAGTAAACTAAAAAATAATTTTTGGCTAATGGGTGTGGTTGTGGTTGCAACAATAGATTTTCGTGTAAAACAAATTAAAGGCCAGTGAAGAGTGCAGAATCACAGGGAATGCACATGGAAAATGTGTACTCTGGAACATATTTCCACTGCTTTTTATGAAAACCTCCTGAAAATATTGTCACTTTGAAGGCAGGGCACTAAGTTGCTGAAACATTGTGCTGTGACATTGGAATTGAAAGGAAGCTTTGTGACTGTGCACTACTCAATTTCTGCCCCCCCCCCCCGGCATGAAAGGGTGTACAGAAATGATGAAAATGTTTGTGGAATCTGAGATGGCTATAAAAGTGTTGTGATTGTTGTGGAACTCCCCAAAAGAAGTTGAATGGTTTCTCACATTTTTCAGGCACTGGTTTTGGCTATGGCAGAATGTTAGTATGTTTCCCTTGGCTTTCAGGATTTTTCAAGGAATGGTGACATTAGGCAACTTGATATCGCAAATGGTGAACAGTAAAATTATGCCAACAGATCCAGTGGAAAAAGCCCTCTATCAGCAATTTCGAAAGATAAAATTAAATGCAACACTGGGACAACTTTCACGAATCCTGGAGAAGGATCAGTTTGTGGTGGTTGTTGAACCTCGAAAAGTCGGTAAGTGTAAGTTGTTGTTGTTGTTGTTGTTGTTGTTGTTGTTGTTGTTGATGATGATGATGATGATGATTATTATTATTATTATTATTATTATTATTATTATTATTATTATTCATTTGTACTCATCAAGATTCATAGTTATATCAAGTAATACAAATAATTAAGAACATTTTTATGTTAAATTTCTGTTGATTGCTCTGTTTTTCCTCAGCTTGTGTATAAATACACAAGAAAGGGTAATTTCCTGCTGAGTGGATTCTGATTTTAAAAACATTCCCTCCCTATACAGACATTTAAGGGACAACCTATCAACCCTGCCTTTGGAATATTTTAGTTTATTTTATTAAATTCAGTTGCATTTTTCTAAGCTACCACAAGCTCTACTATAATGAAATTTGGCACACATGTAATTGAGGCTTCTCTGAATTTGCTTACTTTTTTTGTCCAGTGAGGTGTAATAGTCATCTTAATACTTTTTCTCTAAAAGACCATTATTTACAAAAATAGGAATCTGGGAGTTTGGGCTCAAAATTTAACATAGAACTGTGATGTGATGAAATAACATTTCCATCCAGATTTGGAATCAGCATATCAGTTGAATTAAAAAATCAGTTTTCTTTTATATTACTATAGTAATGTTATTCGTGAATATTATTATTTGTTTTAGAATTAATGTACTTCAGGTAATATCTAAAGATTTATATATTGGAAAATAAGATGATTTTCAGTACCTATCATACTTGACATTTCAAAAGTCTTAAATTACTACATTCATATCATTAATTTCCATGAAACGTCTTAATCAGTTTATTAAAAGCTCTGGAAATTCCTTATTGTTTTCTTTAATTTATTCATTTTTACGATCTACTGCTTCTTATGAGTCATGTTTTGATAAGGTAAATACAGTGGAATCCCCATACAGCATTCCTTATCTGAAGGTTTTGCCTTGTTTATTTTTCAGTTTCATCAATCCCTGGTCAGTAATCATATTGTTAATTTACCTCCATTTAAAATGTTTCCTCAAATTAGTGCTCAAATTTAATGCTCCACAAAGAAACCTGTAATGAGGGTTTCAATATATTTAACAAGATACAAATACAAGTAAAAATTATTTTGGTCCTTATGGACTGTAAATGGATTTGTGTATGAAATAAATTAATATTAATGCTAATGATTAATCATGTAAGGTTGAAACAGGTGGTGCGGTAGTAAACAGATATAAAATATAAACTATTCAGTTTTAACTCCCTTGTAAGAAATCATGTTGGAAGTTGCTGTAAGTTTCATCCATTGTATGCTGTTTAAACTCTCCAGGGTGCTTGGATATAATAAATTCACAGCCCCAGTATTGTAACAAAAGTTTTGTACAACTTAGCTACAGCTGTTGTCCAATAGATAAAATACTGTATACTAGTGATTATCTTAGGGCAGATTATCCAGTTTGTAGCTTATTTGTTCACCTTCTATAGGCCTGTGTGCAGTCCTGTATATCATCTATTATCTTCACTCAGTCCATCTACACATTCTAACAGACAACAACTCCAACAGTCTAACAGACAACAGGCAACTCCCACAACATAGGAGGAGGAAATATTTATACATCACTTGCAGCCTGGCTCTCTGGACACCAACACAAGCGTAATCCCTGCCAATTGGTCCGCGCACCATCCAGCAGTAATGTTATAAAAATGCAGGCCTCCAAATGGTTACCATCAGTTTCATCAATCGACACTTCACTGCAAGCAAGAGACCAATACAACTCCAGCTCTCCAGTAAACAATGCCACACTGACTCTACCAGCGCACATACCATAGACAGCCAACACTGCTGGCACACACACCATAGTCCTGCTAGTAAGCCAGACTCACTGCTATTCCGCCAGCATGTAATCACCGAGTGGCCGCAAAGAAGAACACTGGGCTGCTACAAAGAAGACGCAGCTAGACAAATGACCCTTTTAGGAGCCTGCACTTAGCACCGTCAGAGGAGTCTTTACCGACATTATCCAGTTACTTGGTTGTCTCAGTGCATATCGACATCCTCAGTTATATTAGACAAACTTATGAAGAATTCTTCAGCCATATAAATTTGTATTCAGATTGGACCGAATTTTAGCATCCACTTTATATGAAGACCTATGTGCTTTCCTATGCATCTCTTGAGCTTATTCACCAAATATTTGTTGGAGCAAAAAATATTTTGAACATAAGTTATAAAGAAATATGAAATACACATCTGATTATCAATGTACTTTTTCCACTTGTCTTCTGGTTTTCAAGACAATTGAACAAATCGGACACTATGTGTACATCTATGAACTTCTGTATACAACTGTCACCTTGGTCCTTTAGTCATAACCAAAGCTTACCATTGCATTATCCATGTTTTTCAATTACCCCATCATTAGTACAGACAGTGTGAGGTATACTCTATTTAAACTTCTTTCCACTGATTTTTAACATGAGTTGAAGCAGTTGACATTACCTGTGCCAAAAGATGTTTATGGTCTTCATAGTGTAGCAGTGCGTTAATAATTTTGACAATTATAGTGAAAAATTATTCATTATATGTAATGAAATGATTTCAGGTACCAGCCAAGATGCCATGGAGTGCCGTGACTTCATTGTTAGTATTGTGACCCCCATTGACCTCCTCACTTACATCACAAACATGGAGAATGCAGAAAAGGTTGTGAAATGACAGAATGGTTCAATGCACAGACGTGATCATGAGTAAAATTCTACTGTACAGCTCTGTCGGACAGGTGTGTTCCCAGTGCATTCATGCAGTCAACAGGGGAGTATGAATATCATCCAGTACTTCTACTGGATGATTTTCGTTTAGTACATTACAATGTTATCAGACCAGTTACTATAAATGTTCTGTACACTGTGATTCATTATGTTGAAGAGTGTCAGGGAACACTTAATTTTATTATTTTATAGTCCACAAATAAATAACTTGCAGATCAAGGTTTCACAGTGTGAGGGGCATCCTTATACTGAGTAAAATACGCCATCCACGAGAGAAAAAAGGTATACTCCAGCCAAAAGGTAACAAACAGCTGACTGCATCTTGTCACATTGGAGTAATGGAAACACACAAGAATAGCTGCAACAATCAAAAACAAATTATGACATGGCATTGCTCCATGCTTTCATTTCAAGTGCAGCTGTGTGATTGTTACCAGACAACTGATAACCTTAGCAATATATATACAGTTGCGTATACACAAACATAAGAGTTCATTTCTTAATACTTCAATTATAATTCTTTTCAGCACACTATTTTGTTTCTTAAATATTTTGTTGCATTACTGCTGAGAGATCTTATGTAATGAAAAGAATCTGTACATGTAATTATTCGGATGTTTAATATTTATGAATCATTCTTTCTGCAATAATGTTTAAAAAAAATTTAGAGCTTCATTTTTATCATGGCTTAGGGCATCATGGCATTTCAACTGGCATTGTTCCTTGTTGGAAATATGCAAATGAAAACAAGGTATTTATATAGTGCCCAGTCACACTGTGTTTAGTGGACTGAATCACTGTTTGCTGTGTTGGATTTCTTGTTTCTTCCCAGTGTTCTGTCCATAATGTGCTGTTGTAATTTGTGATTAATTCACTTTAACAAGTAACTGAATTGCTACTGCACAAAGAACATAAAAAAATATATGATGGAACAGATCTTACAATAAAGTCTACTTCAAGTATTTCAACAGATCTGTACACTCTTCTATACAGTTCTCTTTTCCGTTGATGGTTTAAAATTTTCTGCTCATACGTTCACAGATGAGAGAGCAATTCTCTTCAGATGAATTCCAGACGTACATTACAAAACAAATTTATGTGGACAAAATTTGAATGTGAGATTCAGTTTCTCATGATTGTGAATGTGAAGATTACTCTTTTGTGAGGTGTGACACCGTGCAGATTGTTGGATTATCAGAAGCATTGGAGGAAACTGCTGCCGCCATATACGCTGCAGAATACAGAGTCATTACATTCCAAAAGATGTTATTCTTCAGGGAATGATAAATATTCAAGCTTACATCTTTCTGCTAAATTAGTATTAACTTATTGTCTCTGCTGATTCAGTTTTCCATTTATTAGAGGTGTTCGTTTATTTTCATTCCATATTCTCTGAAGATTTATTCTTTCCTTCCAGTTAATGCAGATTCCATTGTGGCATGTTTTACTTTATTTTGTTCAGTATCCTGATCTTAAAATTTTTCAGTATGAGAACTTATACTTGATTTTTTTACAGTTAATAGTATATAACATGTTACATATGAATAAACAGACTTCTTGCTTTCTATATATTATTCCTTATAATATGAAAGTTGAATATGTGTTTCTTTTGAGATAATTTATACTTGTTAATATTGACAAACCATCAGTTTATAAATTTGTTCCAATGGAAGTGTGGGAGAAGGTGGGTACAAAATATATTTGAGCAGCTATTTGTTATTGTTAATGTTACAGGGATGAAATTGTGCATATACTTTAAACTTGTGATTTCTTCTCCATTTTTCAATAAAAATAAAAAAATAAATGATTTTATTGGAAGTGATTTTGTAGTGCTGTATGTCGTTGTCCACTTCTTGAGGTCATGGCTAGGATGTCTCTGCAGCTTAGCTTAACAAGCAGATTTTCAAGCCTCTAAACCCCAGTCAATTCCCCAGCTGGCAAGGCTCTGCAGTATTGTGACTTCAGCTTTATCTCCTGACAAATCCACGAGAAGGTAGTGACTAACTCAGTGTGGCTTCATGGGAAGCTGTCAGTCAGTTGATCAAAAAGTTTCTCATTTTTTTATGAGACCCCAAGATTTATTGCCATGTTCACAGGAGTCCAGCACTAGGCCAGTCCTGAGCCTGATAAATCCCCATCCTGAAACCCTATTCATATGAGATACATTTTAATATTCTTCCACTTAAATCTTGGAACCCCATGTTGTAGTTTTCCTTTCTGATTTTCCAATAAGAATTATGTGCACACTACTACTGTCCCATGCATGCTACATGCTTACCCATCTCATTCGTCTTGATTTGATCACCCTAATATTTGAAGAAGTGTTCAGATTTTAAAGTTCATCATTATGCAGTTTTTACTGTCCTCTCACTCTTTCTGAAGTAAATATATAGAGTGGTTCAGGGAAATTGCAATTGTAAAAACTGGTCTTCCAGGTACCAATATGGAGGGGTGGGATTGCTTCACTCAACATCCTCTTACCCACTTCACACTGTTTACTAACCGTGAAACAGTGGACTGTGCACATCATGCTTCTGCCATCAAGGCATTTTACAGAGACAATGATAACCTCTAGGCTTTTTGAAATTTATTTTGTGTTCAGTATAATAACCCTGTATCATTTTCTAATGCCATTAACACTTGGGTAAGTTCACCAGAAAGCATCACAGATGTCAGGACTTTTCTCATGTGGAGTCCACAGAATTTTGTGTGTAAGCATGCAATGTCGTTGAACTTATCCATTAGGAGTGTATGATGAATATTGTACCAAGAATTAAATTTATATCCTTTGAAGGTACTGGTAGTGCAAGCATTAAAACTTCCAGATTTCCTTCCCCATAAAAATTTTTGCCAAGAAATGCCAAGTGAAATGGATTGTGATAATGTTATTCACATTCTGTGGATGTCTGGTGCAGCTTACTTTCATCTAGACCGTTCTGTGAATGAACAAAACTGTGTCAGAATAAAACCAAATCCATCAGCAATCATTGCACAGAGACTGGATAATTATATGGTGTGCAGTTTCATCTCATGTCATTTTTGGGAGAGGAACAGCTCTGATGTCAGGTCATTGTGTTAAAAGACTACAGCCTCACTGACTGATAAACTAGCTACTAGGTTTCCTGAAGTTAATGAGTCCAATTGGTTTCAACAAGATTGTGCGATATCTCCTACTGCCAGGGTGCCAATGTGCACAATACCAATAACCACATCATCTCCAGGAATGGTGACATTCCTTGGCCTCTTAAGGCACCCAGACCTGTCAGCATGTGACTTTATAATGGGGGTGCTTAAAAGCAAAGTATACACTCAATGCTCACACAATATTGAAGTTCTGAAAAGAATAATAAAAAATTAATTGGCGGAATTCTTATAGGGATGCTTATGCCACATCATTGAAAACATGTTTGGTAGATTAGAGGAATGTATGCACGGAGATGGAAGTGACCTCGAGGATATCATCTTCAGTAAATGGGCAGCATGCTGTGGGCTTCCCTATTTGGCAAATACATATATTTATTTAATTACCAAGTTTCTAAAAATGCCTGTCCCCCCCCCCTATTTCCATTATCACCCTTTTCCTCAACAGCCATAGCCAGTTCTCTCTCAGAATGAAACCCAGGGTCAGCAGAAATCTAAAGGCAATCAAGAATTCCACCCTCCACCTTCACTTAAAAACTTATCAATGTCATTAGCAATAAATTAACAAAACTAAATTTCAAGACACTGTGATGAATATTGTCATGGCTGTCTTTGGTGTCAGAAACACTTTTATGTCATTGCATAACATGTATATGACTGTCAGTTATGGAGCACCTGAAATTCATGTTCATGTAATATAAATCATGAAAGAAATGATGTAAATCATGCTTCCCCAGACACACAGGCCCTTTATGAGACAACGTTTGACACTCGTACAAGACTGTATATTTTATATTTCCAAATGGCTGTGAGGGAACTGAATGGTAGTGGCAATTAATGCAAGTAATTTTGATTTCTCATTGCCGTTCCAAGATGAGTTTTACATTATGATAGCTGTGTAAACTACAGACAAGGAAATATAATATGCAAAGGTTGAATGTTCACAGTAACTGTTGACCTTGGCAACAAAATCGTTGGAAGGTATTCTGTTTGTAGAGAGGAAAGAAACAAACATAATGTACTCCCAAGGAGTCTATTTGTTGTATGGGTGTAAAGGTGTGTCCAGCTGTGGCAACTTGTGCCTCTCTGATTGAGTCTGGCTTGCTATTATATGTATTGTCACATATTAGTGATAAGACACAGCGTTTGGGTTGGTAATTAAATTCATTCCTGGTAATGGATCTCAACAATGTCCTCTGCTTGCACCCAGTATCAATTATCATCCTGCTTGCTGCTAGAGGAGCCCTGTGCCATATTGGGAAGTGTGTAGATGCTACACCAACAAGAATGTAATATCTTCAGTCCAGCAAATGGCTCACACCACTGTCTGGTGCCCAGATTAAGCATTACAAATGTATTCATGGTACAATGCTTAATTAAACACAATGAGCTCTGCCATTTTCTTAACAATGTAAGAATGACATATTGAGTTTTAAACTAAAAAAAGGCATTATAAATGAAGTTTTTAGTTTAAAATTGTAGAAAGGATGAGCCATGGGGTGAGCAGGCGCGCACATTTGCAAGAAGAGGCTTGTCAGACTATTCTGCAGCTTAGGTGGTTAGTCACTTGTTCTTGCATCCACAGTTAATCCAGTCGTGATATACAGTGTGCCCACAAAGTCCCGTTGGGGTTTTAAAAAATTGTGGCGTGCAAACAAATTGACCCAGCCACATGCAGTTTGCGGCAGATTATTGTGAAACTCTGGAAGTTTTTTTACTGGCCTCAATAGACCTCAATGTGTGCTCCCTTGATAGCACGGAGAACGTCCAGACGATATTCGAGCTCTTGCCATGTTCTGTGGAGCATGTCTGCTGGAATAGCTGAGATCGCATTCGTGATATGGGTCTTCAGGTCATCAAGTCCGTTAACTGGTGATTGGAACACACTGCTCTTGACATGACCCCACAAGAAAAAATCCGCATTCCTAGACAGGACATTTCCGGGAAGATTGATTGGCAGAGATGGTCCAATGCTGTGGCCTTCACGTTCACCAGAGCCAATAAACTTTTTGAAACTGTTGGAAAATACCAATTTAGATAACTTATACAGCAAGACAGAGTGCCATGTGGTGTGAAAGGCTTTTTCGATATCCAAGAGCATTGCGGCCATAGATATTTTATTGTTGAAATTAAGGGTAACGTGGTCTACCAGTCTCATACATAGCAGTGTTGTGCTGTGACATGCAAGAAAAACAAATTCTCTTGCATTGAGCAGTCCTCTTTCTTCAATATGTATTTGGAACAATTTCAAAATCACTTTTTTGAATAGTTTTCCTCTTGTAGGCAGGAAGCTACGGATGTAAATTTTGAGGGAATTTCAGGTCTTTACCGGGTTTAGGTAAAGTTTTTACTTTTGCTTCCTTCCAAGGATTTCCAAAATGAGACAGCCGAAGGCAATGATTTATTAAATAAACCAAGGGAACCAATGGTCACCCTAGAAGGCGCTGAGGCATTCATTTGGAATGCCATCAATTCCACAGGCCTTAATTTCAAGGAATTTATTTATTTCTATAAGTTGCATGGTCTTGTCCTTTTGAGGGACGGTTTTGAGTAGAGCTTGAACTCTAGCCTCCACCTGCTGTTCGTGGTTTTAGTCACACAGATCATGTGGTGTGAACTGAATTTCCAAGCAGTCAGCAAATGCGTTGACTTTTTCGAAAGGATGAAATTTAAGGTTTGAAGCATCATGAAGAGCAGTTGGGCCATATGCCCTGAGGTGTGACTAGCGTTACCTATCTTTGTTTCCCACCGTTCAAATGCCTTTTTGTGGGTCATTCACCTGATTGATTTTGACCCAATTGACTGCCATTTTACACGTTGGGTCCCTGATTTCTTGCCACAATTTTTGCAGCCTCTGCATATGTTTTAACAAATGGTCTAGACCAAGAAGATCATTGTATATGTCCGAAAGTGTAACTTTACTTGTCGACAGTCTATATGCTGAAGCAATAGAGTTTGTGAAGTCGCGCACTGCTTTATCGGCTTCTTCCCCCTAGTTAATTTCGATTTGAACTGATACTAACTCAGGCAAGGGTTTGAAACTGATCCCAATTATTGAATTTTTCAATACGTTCCGAAAGATTCCTAATTTTGACATGATCCAGTATGTTGAATACTATTTCTAGGTGATCTGAATCTAAAATATCAGAGACAATAACATCTGATGCTCTGATGTTTGTGTGGATCACAATATCCAGCACGCCACCATTTCTCACAGGTGAATAATGAATGGGGCATTGTGGTGCTGAAATTTCGGATTCATTCATAACAAAGAAAGCCATAAGTTTCTTGCCCGAGGAGTTTGAAACTCTACTATTCCAAAATGGGTGTTTAACTTTCAGTTCACCTGCCAAAATAGACTTCCATCTAAAGTTTAAGAGCTCAATATCATCAATATCATCTCTCCAGGATCTCCTAGAGATTTATTAACAGCTGCAAGCAGCACTTCACTATTGCCAATTGGTATGCAGACCCCTGTCTCTTCAGTGGAAACAAGGGGTGAGAGGTCTACATGGTTATGGGGAATGCCTTTTCTAACAGCAACGGCAGGTCGGTTCGATAAATGTAGTAATTTTGAATAAAGAACCTCTCATGCGGTTTTAGATGTGTATCTGATAACAGGGCCACACATATATGTAGGTTTTGCAGGTGTTTACTGAGCTCATAGCGCTGCCTCC